CCCCCCCCCCCCCCCCCCCCCTTACATGTCTTCATGTCGATTCAACGTCAATTCCGACTTCTTTGGAAAGATATTTTTCATTTTTTTAAATACCCTTTTTTGTCGCAAATAACTGCGCAGATTTTTGTTGTACTAAGGAATTGTTTCATCTTGAAATGATGTTAAGAAACAGTAGTCAGGAAAGGGGGTTTTTTAATAAAAATAGCGGTGCTTCATACTTATTTATTTGTTGTTAGACAGTTTAAGATATAAAGAATTATAAAATATTTCAAAATGACATGGAAGACATTTATTATAAATGAGAAACTGTATTTATGTATAGAAGTTTATGAAAAATTGTATTTATGTATAGGACTTCAGACGCATCTGGAAATGAAGGTTCTGTATCTGCTCATGGGAGGATCAGCAGACGCTAGTATGCGGAAACAGAGCGTTCGTAGTTAAATAAATGCCTGCAGCTCGTCGACATCTGTAGATGTAGAGATTATACAACTTGCTTTACTTTCCTAAATCCCTCAGAGTTTTTTGTTGAAATTGTAACCATTCGTTTTTATTCTATCCTATCTCTTCTTTTTCAAAGACAAGCTTACTCAGATTTTTTGCATAATGAACGATGTGTAAGGTTTATAAGAAGTTAATAAAATAATGGACGTAGAAAATAAAGACACAATAATGCGTGATATTTAGCGTAAATGCAGAGAGAAAAACTCAAATTATCAAAAAGTAAAATAATTTGGTATACAATTTTTTTTGAGAATGGAAATATGCGTAGAGTTTTCACCCTGAAAAATTCTTAAATGTGTGAGGAATATTGCAAATAAAATAGGCAGAACGATACAAATGTAACTCAGGAGATGAGAATTAGCTACTGAAAAGTGATTTCAATATAGATATAACTCATAAACTCAAAGCTGTATCTGATGGTTTGGGCGCTGAGTTAATCTTTGAGACTGAAGTGCTAATAAGATTGCTACGTTTTATTTTACTTGACGTCACAGTCATTTTTTTCTGCTTTCAGATTGGATGGTAAAAAAAACGTCAAGCAGGGCTACTTCTAAAAGTCCTGCAGCGCATCTTCATCTCATGAATAAGAAAATATATTGAAGGAGCAAGACCAAGAAGGCTGAGGATTAACATAATTGACCAACAGCAGAAATGGATTGCTCTTGAAGAGCAAATTATTGGAGCAAGAGTCAGCACCTGTGCTAATCGAATCAAAAAATGATGGTGCAAAACATGGTTGAGGAGATCGCGACAACCTGGTCTCATCTTGAGGAAATAATAGGTAGGTTGTAACTGGAGCCAAATTATCAAGAATTTTAGGTTCTCTCGAGAACGTCTTGTAAATTTTAGACTAGTCCAAAATTCTTGTCTTTAAAGAGTTTTAAATTCGCAAAATTTCTGCTGGAGTCGTGGTCTCCACTATGGAGCTCTCATTCAGTTTACCTGAAAAATAACTAATTTTAACGCTGCTGTATAAAAACAACAACAACCGATCTTCACGTCAGGATAAGTATGAAATAGTTCTCTTTATTCATAACAACTGAGCAATTATCTTCTTTTACCTCCTGCAATCAAATCATTACAAATTTTAAATTTATTCAGCAAACTTGCGGACACGAAAAATTGCTTTCGAAGCTTAAAACTGTTTGTCGAAATAATTTTACAGTGCGTAGAAAATTCAGAACTGACAGGACACTTTTAGCATGCAGTCGTAGGTTTGCTGGTTAGATACCCGAGAATGATATGATAATAACTGTGGACAGAATATTTGTGATTTTACAGTTAATACTCTATTTACAGCTAATAATTGTAAATGATTTTATAATGTGGAAAAAATTCAGAACTGACTGAGAAATATATTTATGCAACCGTTTACTGAAAACTTACACCCGTTAGGACAACCGATCTCAAATAGAAATTACTTTTGACACATTCTCTCTAGAAAGCAAAATTAGTAAAAACTGGCAGTCTCAGGAAAATTGTTTTCCACGCTAGCTGCACTCTGAAACAACACTCAATGTAATTAGTAAAGAGGGAGAGAGTGAGGGATTTGGCAGCATGTTCTAAAACGAGAAATAGCCATACTGACGTGTGATTTATCTGTCTGTATCGAGGGATCATTCAGAGAACAACTGCAGACGCTAAGAGAGTTGATTTTTATGAAAAAAGTATTGGATCAAAAATGAAAGACAAATACGTCATAAATGCTTGTTTGACTGCAGCACTATGTCATGACACAACTGAGCCTTTCGTGAACCTTCCGGTAGGCCTCACTGAATATATTTTCCAGCAGAAGTGAAAACTTGCAAGGACTGAACAGTTAAGTGTGATATCTTTAAGTTTCATTTTCTTGATGCAGCGACATCAAAGCAGTTTACGCTCTGATTTCATTCCCAAACAAGGCAAAAATTTTGTAAGGTAGATAAACTTAAAGATATCACTTTACCACGCGTAAATATTGAATTCTTTGTAATCTCTATAAATTCGTGGTAAAAGCGACGTAAATAAATTCTGAAAACTTTCAGTTAATCCATCATAATTATTTGATTTTGTCTATTAACTGGGTCAATTGACAACTGTGCAGATTTTAAAGAAGCTGAATAACATAAAAATAAAGCGCGCAAATATTAGTACTTCATTCGAGGAATAAATTTTGTCAGGATTTCACATCTGCGTCCACATTTGACTGCTTTTCTACAGTACTGCACTTAAGTGCGATGACCCGGTTTTGTGCTGCAATTTTGGTTTATTTCGGCGGTCAGTATGAAACGAATCAGTTGTGGCATATGAAACGAATTAGTTGTGGCATGTGTCAGTTTTTTTTGGTTTGTTGTAGTCTTGAGTTAGAATAGGTTGTTTTTTGTATGTGCTTTATTGTAAACATAAATTGTATTCTTTAAAAAGTATCATAAAGTTGTTTTAGTGTATTTTGGTGTTTCTAATACGGAAAAGCGAAATGAGCGAAGCTCTTCAACGACCTCAATGCTCCATTTGCTCGGAGTGGATTAAACTGAGTGAAACTTCTGCACTCAGCTGTGGCCATCTGTTTCACTCGTGCTGTATTGTTAGCTGGATTAAGGTGAGCAGTTAATTCCTGCTTTCTCATTTTATCCATTCATTCCTTTACCTGTGATCTCGCTGTGCAAGTGCGCTAAATTTATTTACTCTTACTTTTCTTTTTAGTTTTGCAAGTCAACTGCTTTCTGTAGGCATTCATTTCATTTTGTTTACATTTATCCATGTCTCTTCAGAAAAACACTAGAGAAACCGTCCCTTTTTATAAAATAAAAGTAGCAGTATATCAAAGCATGATAATAAAATCGAATAGTAGTAATGTGTATGCAGTGCATCAAACTTCATTTTAGAGTCTCGGGATGTCTTATTTTAGTCATCATACTACTGAATTTTCACTCCTGCTTTAATACTAGTGGAAAAAATTTGTATTCATTATAAATGTGGTACAAGTTTTGTAATATGGAACGCAAATTAAATGTTATTTTAAAATTTCCTCTTATTTCGATTTTGTAATAACGTTTTATAAGAAATATAGACTTGGGGTAACTGTCCTGTATGTCGGAAAAAAATTATAAATGAGGACCAAATTGTTCGGCATTTATTCTTTCAAGTGGACGATAGCGATTTCAGTGATCAGGATCATCAAGTATATGCTTTACGGACTAAGGTTTGCTCACATTATATCGGTATTACAAAACATGATCCTCAAATAGTTAATGCCGGCATGATATTAATTTTAATTATGATCGATGCTTGGTAAAACTTATCATCAGCAAATCAAATTATTAACTGCGCAATGTCAGGTGATGCTAAAACTTGCCAGTAAGATAAAAGTTTTAAAACCACTATCGGTTGAAATTTGTGAAATGAATGGGTTTTATTGATAACTTATGATAGGAAAATGCTAGGTTGATCAAATGATGTGGGCATGTCGAAATCATTTTACCAAAGTTACATTGCGCTCTTTTGTTCACTTTTCAAAATATGATAGTTTCCAGTGCTGAGCAGTTATTATTGAAATGACTTTTAAGCTCAACGATCTTTTGGAAGAACTCAAAGCGTCCAAGGATACGAATAAGACTTTGAAGGCTGTTTATGAAAAGCAATGTGTTCGTTATAATCGACTTGTATGAGTTTGTTACGCAATTATTATTTTCTTTGATGCAATATGTGCGAAATTTATACATATTGTAATAATTTATATTTGCACCTGTGGTTGTGAATTATCATAAAAGATTGTGTAAAAAATATACACATCTTATGTGGGATATTCCAATAACTCTCCCTGTTGCAGAAGCGTGAATTGCATAAACAGAGGAAAGCTACTATTTTGATGGAACAACAAGTCATGCGTTTGGAAAAAAAGTATTTGGAAATCATGCATGGGTTCAAAAAGCTAGGTCTCAAACCTAAGAAAACCTGATAACTCTCAGTTGCAGAAACGTAAACTACGTAAACGGAGGAAAGTTGATATTTTGATAAAACCAAGCGTTTTGAAATCCAAGCATATATGAAAAGGGAATTGTTGATGAGCAAAAAGGGACTGCAGGGTTCGAAATTTGGTTTTTTCATGACATTTTTGCTATGACTCCAGTTTTGTTTTACTTTCTTAGTCATTGTAATACTCTGCAAGTTTATTGAATGTTATCCAAACGCAATATCCGTAAACCAGAGAAATCAAAAATTAAAAAATTCCTAAGCATACCACGTCTTAACTATCTACGTTAAATTTGAATTTATTCATACTGATA